CCATGGACCACGGAATAGAGCTGTTATTCTAACCCGGTCCCGAAGCCTGGCCCAGCCCGACCTGAATTTGGGCTGGGCCATAATAATGTGCTGGATGGTCGGGTCGGTGTCTGTGTCGGTGTCGGGCTTGTGATTGCGTCTGCTGACAATCCAACGATATGGCAACAGGGCTTGTCATGAAATCCAATTATATGGCAACATGGCCTGCCATACATTCACCGGCAGCACACGGCCATTTGACCGCGCACTGACCAGCCTTGAAAGAGGTAAAATAAAGTTCAGTTATGCTTCTGATGGGACTACACTGCCAAGCAGCGATCCATCAGCTCAAATGGACGTTCATTCAGCGCAGTGGACGCGCGTGGCCTACGACCCAAACAGGTGAGATCACAAAGTAGATATGTCAGAGCAGGGTCCGTGTCTGAATAATGCAGAATGCAGGCAGAAGCAGGAATTTAATGCTTTGACAACCATGAAAGGACAAGCACCCCCTCAGCTCCAATCTTCCCCCTCAGGTGCGCGCGTCCACTGACCGTTAATAATTTTACAAGTAGTCGAAGTTTAATTAAAAATATCGGGGAGGGTTTTTCGGGTTCTGGCCTGTAATTACTGTTAATTCGTCCGGTCAGGTGGGGTTTGGAAATGATGGCTATGGGCTGGGGCCAGGTCGAGTTGGATTTTTTGGGCCCGAATGCAACTCTACTGTGGAAGGGATTGGTGAACACAGGAATTTAAGCACAGCCCCTTTTTCAAAGGTTTCTGATGTTTACTAGTGGATCGTTTGAGTTTTACTGACTATCACACAGCTGATGATGTGCCCAGGTCAGCCTGTGTGTTAGGAGGCTGTCACACGTCACTTACGGCATCAGCTTTTGCCAACGGGTGAAAAAAAATAGACAAACACGCTGGTGTGAGTGGTGTAAGTTTAGAACAAATTACAGCACGCTGATATACGACGGCATAAATTGTTGTATGCCGATGACAGCCAGAAGTCTTTGTACATGCACAAAGTTTTCAGCGTCTGCCGATGTGATGATAAGTTGGACAGAAGTTTCAGTTCAGCACAAGTTACATGGAAGTTACTCAGAACATGGATGGCCACTTGTCCTGCGTCTGGTTCTGCTAAAGGTTTCTTCCTCATGAGGGAGTTTTTCTTTCTACCGTCGCCTTCATGCTAGCTCAAGATGAAATCAAGTTAAATTCAAAGCAGTCTGCTCCTCAGATAAATAATGTTAACTTACTTTAATATATTATATAAGATTGCTTCTGTTCAGCACCCTGAGATGACTTCTGTTGTGACTTGGAGCTATATAAATAAACTGAACTGAAAACCAGCTGGGCCATTAAATTATTTCTCATCTACAAACACCTTCCTTCTAACATATCCGTGTTAAGCTGATCATGAGGAAATCATACCTCACAGTTATAGCTTTGTTGTGGGTTAGATTTTTGTTTTACTTTGCATCATCTTTCCACAACATATCCTGCCATGCTTTCTGCTGGGCTGCTCTCAGTACCATCTACAAGATGGAAGGGCAGCACAATTATTACAGTTTAACTCGTACATCTTACCACAATCAAATGAACATAATCCAACAAATATAAAAGATGATTAGACCGAAGGCAAAGCTAAAGCTGGCGTTGTTTAGTGAGGCCAACAGTCCTAACATAGTGTCCTGCAAGCAGCTAGGACGAACACTTTGGTTAGGATTCTGATGTGTGACTAGTTCATTGAATGTTTTTTACATTCATATTGTTACTGAGTAAATAATCTTACATCAGCATCACAAATGAAGCAGCGGTAGCTAAAGTGTGTGTGTGTGTGTGTGTGTGTGTGTGTGTGTGTGGGGGGGGGGTTTCAGGTCAGACAGCAGTAGCTCATAAAACTTATTAATCTAGTGAAAGGGATGAATGAGTTCTTCAGTCTGTTGGTTCTACATCTGGGCTGCAGATACCTGCGTCCAGATGGAAGTAGGGCTGGACGATGTGGCCAAAACTTTTATCACAATATATTTCTTAATTTCGGTCGATAACTATATAATTCAATTATCAATACAAACAATACACAAGCCTCAAAAAAACTGTACAAACTGTACAAATAAATTAATGTTCACTTTTACTTGTATTTAGCCTTCAAACAATTTTGAAATCACCGTCAAACATAAAACACTCATCTTTGTCAATATTAATAGTTTTAACTTTAAACAGCAACATAACCTAACATTTGCTGCATGTTTCTTTTGATACACCTGGGGGTGTTGTTTCAGGGACACGTTGGCTCAAACTTTAGTGTTTCATCTTCTGACTCTCAGCAAATTCTATCGAGTGGAACAAGTTAGATGAGTTCCCACGGCTAGTTGGAACGACTCTCCATCACATTTTGCAGCACACTGACTGAAACCTGCAGTTTATCGGATCTTAGAAAGCCGAACCACTTCCACACAGCTGAATTAGTCTTTCCTCTCTTATCAGTGATGTCATCCGTTTTCTCTTGGCTTGTGAAAGTTTGTTCAGTCACATTCTGACGGTCATGGGAACTCATTTTGAAGCGAAAACTTAATGTACGTGGGAGATTAGCCTAGTCTAGCCTGCTACGGCTAGCACCTTCTGGATTCAAGCTCTGTGTAACATCTACGTCACAACACACTTACGTAGTTGTGTCGCAGCTTTTTCTGTCCAGGTTGAAACTGAAGCGGCCGCTTCAACCGGAACAGAAAAAGAAATGGGTCAGTGAAACGCTCTAATCATATCGAAATATCGAAAATGTGCTTAAAACTCATATCACCGTTATTGAATAAAAGTTTATCGTGACATATATCAAATTATTGTCCAGCCCTAGATAGAAGCAACCTGAACTCACCATGGAGTGATGATCAGGATCTGCCAGAATCAGCCTGGCCTTGTTCACTGACCTCATCTTGTGTAGGTCAGTGAGGTTCTGTAGGTCAGGGAAGTTCTGTAGGTCAGAGAGGTTCTGTAGGTCAGGGAGGTTCTGTAGGTCGGGGAGGTTCTGTAGGTCAGAGAGGTTCTTTAGGTCATGGAGGTTCTGTAGGTCAGTGAGGTTCTGTACGTCGGGGAGGTTCTGTAGGTCAGAGAGGTTCTGTAGGTCAGTGAGGTTCTGTAGGTCGGGGAGGCTCTGTAGGTCGGAGAGGTTCTGTAGGTCGGAGAGGTTCTGTAGGTCAGTGAGGTTCTGTAGGTCGGAGAGGTTCTGTAGGTCGGAGAGGTTCTGTAGGTCAGTGAGGTTCTGTAGGTCGGGGAGGTTCTGTAGGTCAGAGAGGTTCTGTAGGTCAGTGAGGTTCTGTAGGTCGGGGAGGTTCTGTATGTCGGAGAGGTTCTGTAGGTCGGGGAGGTTCTGTAGGTCAGAGAGTTTCTGTAGGTCAGAGAGTTTCTGTAGGTCAGAGAGGTTCTGTAGGTCAGGGAGGTTCTGTAGGTCAGAGAGGTTCTGTAGGTCAGAGAGGTTCTGTAGGTCAGGGAGGTTCTGTAGGTCAGAGAGGTTCTGTAGGTCAGAGAGGTTCTGTAGGTCGGGGAGGTTCTGTAGGTCAGAGAGGTTCTGTAGGTCAGAGAGGTTCTGTAGGTCAGAGAGGTTCTGTAGGTCGGAGAGGTTCTGTAGGTCAGAGAGGTTCTGTAGGTCAGAGAGGTTCTGTAGGTCAGAGAGGTTCTGTAGGTCGGGGAGGTTCTGTAGGTCTATGCCTGCAGTTTTGCTGCACATCCTGACCATCTCAGAGAGTTTGTTCCTGTTTTAACATGTTAAAAGTTCAAACCAACAGAAGACGGTGAAAGTTACGAAACTCAATAAAACATGAACAAAACATTCTCATAAAAGTAGAGTCAACATTAAAACCACAGAGCTTCTGATAAAAACAGCTGGTGCTGCTGTTTTCAGTAAAGAGTGCTAAATGTGTGGTTAACACGTGCACTTACACAGAATGTTGCAGGACTGCAGAATGCCGTGCACAACCACTAATTTCCCTTCGTCAGTGAGAAGCTCGTCTATTTTTGATCAACAAAATCAAAAGTTTACGGTTCCTTTTGTCTAGTCACCAGTAATTTGTGGTTAAGCTTCTATAGAGAGAAAATCTCTCCTCTGCTTTTGTTGCAAAGAGAATAAAAAAACTGTACACCTCTTGGGTTTTCTTTTCAGAGTTTCTTCTTTTGCATGACAACAATGAGTGAAAGACCGTATCATGTTTAGAAAACGGAGAAGAACTGATGGATCCAGTGTACACATCTTTAGCTGAAACTGTCACGGTTTAGGAGGGTTCAGACCCAGACTGCAGGCTGGACATGAGGATCGGTTTTATTTAACCAATACATTAAAAATGGCTGACGTGCAGTAAA